ACACACACACACACGCACACACTACATATATATATATATATATATATATATATCTCGATGTAACATCCATGGCTACACACCTGCATCATGGCATATGAGCCTGTCATGTCACACGTGAGTATGTCGTAGGTGATCTTCTGTGCACACGTGTCGTTAGCTTTGAGTCCGTTGCACTGCTCAGCGAAGAAGAAAGCGTCTGCCACAGCTGTTTCGTCGTTCATCTCGAGCAGGTCCACCTTCCCGGAGTAGTTGGTGGCAACTAGACATAAATAGAATGTGGGTGGTGTATAAAAAGTCATGTATAGTGTATAAATAGAGTTTGTATAGTATATAAATAGAATGTGCATAGCTTTGAATAGGTGGTAGAGTATATAGATAGGATGTGTAAAATATATATATAGAATGTATATAATTACATAAAATGTATATAATATACAATTAGAATATGTAAAATGTATCAATAGGTGTAGTATATAAGTAGTACGTCTATAACTCATATATACAGGAAGGAGGTGTATAGATATAAATAGGATCTATATAGTATATAAATAGTATATGTATAATATTTAAATAGGAGGACTATAGTTTACAAATAAACTGTATATAGTCTATAAATAGAATGTGTATGAAAATAATATGTAGAGCTGGAGTGTATACTATATCCCGGCTTGTTGGATGCCACAAATATATTTATACAGATGTTAATATATTGATGTTTCACAAGATACGCTGTCAGAGATCAAACAAAACTAAACCGGAGACTCTTTGGAATGGAAGTCATCACAGAGTAATTACGGTTAACAATCAGCATATGCCCAACAAGATATACATGCGTTCACAACAGAAGATATACATACATACATACATACATACATACATACATATATATATATATATATATATATATATATAACGCACCGCACACATACCCGTGTAAGGGGCCGGCAAGGCCAGCTGCAAGGTGACTGTGGAGTAATTCCAGTTGTCTATAGCCCCTTCGTCTACCCTTATCACCGCCGCCTCAATCTCCAGCCCAGGATATACCACCGTGATGGTAGCTGCATAGAAGACGTATGGTTGTTAATGGTTGTCAAAACGATTGGCCGTTTAAGCGTGTGCACGTGTACATACAGACACTGACACACATACAATACAATAAGAAGACCGATATATATAATCACAGATGAATCGGTGCTATATCCGCCGCTCTGTATATACCACCGTGGTGGTAGCTGTACAGGCAACGTAAGATTGTTAATGGTTATTTAAATGATGGACAACGTGCCGTTTAAGCGTGTGCATGTGTACAAAGGGAGCTCGATGGTATGATACATAAGCAGACATGTGAATACAACAGTGTTAGGATCGACACATAGATCTTGCAATACATATAAGTATATATTTAGAACGGTATGACAAAAGTATGATAAAAGCTTCCCTACATAAATGTATCAGCTACCTACATGAAAGTGATTGTTATGTACATAAGATTAACAGCTACTTAAGTAAAAGTATTAGTTTATTTATTTACAAAAAAAGTTACTTACGTAAATACAAATAGTAGCTACTTACGTAAAAGTAATAGTTATTTATATACAAGCAGTAGTTACTTACATCAAAGTAATAGTTTATTATATACAAGTATAACCTACTCACATAAAGGTATTAGTTACCTACAAAGCAGTATAATCACTTACATCAAAGTACTAGTTTCTTTCACAAAAGTACTAATTACTTGCATAAAAAGTACAAGTCTACCTACATAAAACTATCAGCCACATAGAAGCTGTCAGTCTACCTACACAGAAGGTATAGTTACCTACACACAAGTATCTCTTCCATACCTGCCACATCCTTGACCCTGCTGAGCTCCATGGCCAGTTTGGTCATACCAATGCCGTTGCGGTTGAGCGGTGCGGGTAGTGGTGTGGGGTCTTCTTCACTGCTCAGGAACACCATCTCATTCATCCACACAGCAATAATAGCCTTGTAATAGGTGAACTCTAGAGGTGGGGGGGAGGGGTGGGGTGGACAGATTGTGGGTATTGAGAAAAGGGGGTATATAATGAATAAGGGGGGTTTATGATGAAAAAAAGGGGGGGTATATAATGGAAAGAAGTGGAGAGGGGGGGTAATATACAGGAAACGGGGGGGTATATACTGGAAAAAGGGGGTATATAATGAAACGAATGTCAGTAAATAAGAGGCGATTCAGATATGTTGATCAGCAAGACACACAATCTCCCTCATCCACCCAGCAACAAGGGCTTTTGTAATAGGTGAACTCTGGGGGGTTCATCATTGTGGGTAGTATACCAACAACAACAAAAAGGAGACCAAAATAACAAAGTTGTGAGTAGGAGAATTGCACCCGATATATACAGAAGGCCGACGCAATGCAACACATACAGCCACACATGAAGCGCCTATAACTATCTCGTTGTACCACACAACACACAACACATATGGCTACCTAGTTCTACTACAAAACATATAGCCACCCAGTTGTACTACAACACGCACACAACACACATATAGCCACCCCCTTATACACCACCAGACATCCCCACACTCGCCTACACACACCCGGCGTATCCTCGCCGATAACTCCGCACACATCCAGCTTGTCGAACTTCGCACTGAACGAAAGCATGCCATTACACGAGGCGGTCATGATAGCGATGCTGCCACCGTCAAGCACAGCATCATCTCCCGCGGCAGGTCCATTGGCGCCATACGAACATTTG